ACTTCTACAAGAGACTACCTCACTCTATCCGACTACCGACACTCACTGTCGACTGTAACTCTGGGTATTTAACGGCCGCAGTCCAGTTACACTTGGTAGAGTCCACTTATATGAAAAAGGGGTGGACCCCATAACACCTTGAAAAAGTCGGAAGACGAAACGCGTCGGCAAAATCTAAGATTGTTTTCCAATTGTCATTTTATACCAATCTGTCTTGTCGACAGAATTCATCTGGGAATTTAACTATAGTGTAAATAGTTACAATACCTAATCTCAGAAATATAGACAGATGTATTTACATATCAAGCATTTCTTTTTTAATTCACCCTATGAGTGACCACTCAAGATTTTGGAGGTTGCAAATGGCCGCCCTTTCGTGTTAAATCGTTTCTGACTGGTAGTCAGATGCAACGTTCAATATCAGATATCTTCTACCACATTTCCATGGGAAGGTGTGGCAAGCTGCCACTTTTCCCAGGGACGTAAACTAAAGGATATAATCCGAGGATATCTTAATGGCAACATTGTTACACGAGCGAACGCAAATAATGACATAGTCTTTATAAAGGAGAGCATAAAATTTAGGATTCCATGAAACAATTGCAGTGTGCCAGTATCTTTTATTGAGTATAAATATGAAGGCATGTGTTTATTTTAACTATCTTAATTAAAAAAGATCGCCTTGAGATTGCATTTTGACAGCTGCCACACACACACACACACACACACACACACACACACACACATATCTATCTGTGTATTGTGTATATATATGTATCTGTGTGTGCTGTGTATATATATATGTGTGTGTATCTGTGTTTTATATGCATATATATATATATATATATATATATATATAGATTTAATTGAGATACTTTATTTTTGTTTATTAATTTTAACGTTGAAGGAAGAAATTATTCAAAAGTTTTCGCCTATAATGCTTATTTCATGTTAAGACGGAAAAAAAGAAATTGTGAAATTTACGAAGAAGGTACTGTGTATGATTGAACGTGTCAAAAATGGTTTGTGAAATTTCATGCTGAACAATGCTCCACAGTCAGGTAGATCATGAGTTTGATCACACACATCTGAAAGCATTACTTTAAAGTAATCAATGTTATACAACGCCAGCCAATCCATAACCAAGTTTGCTTTTCATCCAACGAAGTCTCTGCTGTGCATTTTATTTGGATTTGAAAGGAATCCTAAACTATAAGCATTTCCAAGAGAACGAAACGGTTGTATCGAATATGTATTGCAACAATTAGAGCAAGTGTAATAAAGAGTTTGTAATTAGTAAAATGAAAAGGACGTAATAATCTATCAAAATAATATTTGATCAGGAGCATATCCAAATGCGCCTAGTTTTATTCCTCCAAACGTTATTAGAGTGGGCACTTCTTATTTGAAATAGACGCCTCATTTTAATTTATTTATTAAACAGTGTCTAATACGTCTATAGGTCTGTGCATTCGCACCGGAAGACAGATTTTCTTTACTTAGATGTCTCGAATGACCAGGCAAATAGATGCATTACGCACTGTTTAATTAAAAAATAAAAATGGGACGTCTGTTTCAAATAAGAAGTGTTCACTGTAATAACGTCTAAAGTAATAACAATGTCAGATTAAAAAAATAAATCCATCTTTTAGTTAATATTAGCATAAAATCAGCTCCAAAAACACAAATCAACATCGTTAATCTTTTAAGAAATCATAACGTCAATAACTGCATATTCTTTGCTTTCATTAAATTGATATATGAATTGTTCAAATTGAGTCTTTTTCTCAATTTGTTCTCTATCGAGATTCAGCAGAAGAGGAACACAATATTCTGTCTTGACGTTTGTAGCTTTAACTAAAATATATTTATTACTTTTACAGACTGGCCATCTTAGTGCTTCTCAGTAAAGATGATCAAAGAAGAATCATAGATCTGAAGAATATTTCTTTTTACTGTCCGTCGATAGATTATCTGAACTGAATGTAAACTGATCAGAAATGCTTCTTTCAAGTGACGCCAAGAGCAGGCGTTAAATCTGCCCTACTGTCAGCTTTTTTTTTTTTTTGTGACTAGGTAAACATTACTTGCCTTCGATTTACCGTTTATCCCCGTTTTTACAAAATTCAGTTACCCACCCACCAAAGAAAAACGCCATATCAGAAAATAGTGAAACAAAATGGTAAACAATATTAAAAATGAAAATTAAATTTACATTCATTTTTATTTGGCGCAACTGTATATTTAGCACCGATCTGTTAAAAATGTTCTGATAACTTTTGTAAGCTTCTTATACTTTATAAAGTTGACGGACATCTTGCCCACACAAAACGGTCTTGCAATATTTTTGCTTATTTTTTCTAAATCTTTATTGGTAGTTCTATTTTTATTTCTTCACACATATTAAGCTATTTTTTAGGGTTTAAGTAGACATTTCATCTTCTTTTCAAACACCGAAAATAATGACCACTGTATGAAAAACAATTTACCCAAACACGGGAATATCTGCCAAAAACATGTGTAAACGCTAAATTAACGTTTATAACAATAACGATATCTATCTATCTATCTATCTATCTATCTATATATATATATATATATATACACGACATTATAAAAATTTCAGTCCACTCCTGGTAAGTACTTGTTTTGTACTTTAAATGAGATAAAATTATAATACATGGTTAAAAAAGGTGACGCGTGATTTTTTATTAGAAATTTTGTTATGACAAAAAGAAAAAAAAAACATTTTATGATTAAATTCGATTCTCACTGCGTGTCTCTAAACAGTAGCCACAGGCTAGTTAAACACATATCATATATACTTGCGTATAGTACAAGTTGTTTTTTACGCAGAAATAGGGGGTCGAACCCTACACAGGTAATTTTTGGGTACGGGTTAAAATCATACATGATGCAATGGAAAATATATTCTGGAGGGGTGAAAAGACACGAAAAAAATTCAGGGTTCGCACTATACATGATGTCGACTTATACACGAGTATATATGGTATACGAGTAAGGACTGGGACGCCTGCCGTATTGCGATGTTTAACAGGCACATTTCGGTGATCCGTCCGGTAATGTAGTGAATTCGATCCTCAATGTATGCCTGTTATCTGTAGTCACGCGTTCGAGCCGTGCTGAGTCAATTAAACGCATATACCAGCGAGTGCTAGAACGATTACCCGATTTAACAAGTGTTTCTTGGTGACCTCTGCACTCCTGTAATGAATTCGATCCTTACTGACTTTCCCGCTCTTTTGTCAGACGTTGCTTAATTTTAATAGGACCATCTTCAGATGGAAGTGTGTTAACGCGGATACAGAATACGAGGGTCGGCTGAAAAGTTCATAGGCTGACCAAGTTACTCTAATGGAATGTAACCAATGAGGCTTATTTTCTAATATAATCCCCTTGCGGTCCGCACCCTCCTTCCATCGGAATTGCAGCGTTAATGAAGAAGCTTTCATCCTGTCAGTAAAAAAAAAAAGTTAACAACAGCAGATATGACGTCATCATCACTACGATACTAATTCCTAACTATGTGTTTTTTCATGTTAGAGAACAGATGATAGTTAGATGGGACCAAATCAGGAGAATAGGGAGGGTGATCAATGAATTAAAAGCCAGTCACAAACAGCAGCGATTGAAACCAAGAACTTGTTTGATGGGTCATTGTCTTGATAAAACAAAACCCATTTCATTAGTTTTCTTACGCGTTTCGTCTTGATAAGATTTCGTAATTGCCTCAGCGATTTGGCATCCATTGATGCTGTGTCCATTTTGAAGATAATTTTAATGCATGAAAGATTTCACAATTCTAGCATCACTTCTTCATCGTCAGCCTATGAACTTTTCAGACCACCCATGTACATGGAAAGAAACAATGCAGTTATTAATAAGAAGTGTTGAAATTAATGCATGCAAGGTTTCACAGCTCTAGCATCACCCTTTCATAGTCAGCCTATGAACTTTTTTGCCCACCCTTGTACATGGAAAGATACAATGCATTTATTAATAAGAAGAGTTAAAATTTAATGCATGCAAAATTTCACAATTCTAGCATCACTCCGTCATAGTCAGCCTATGAACCTTTCATCCCATCGTCGTATATGGTTAGGTAACGTTCACTGCAGGCCTTTCCTTACAAGAACAGATTTACACTTTCTTCCCATTAAAAACAATCCCCCTGCTTGTCAATGCTGTTCGTAGTAGTTACCTCGTTTTGCTTTTCATTTTATGTCCCATTAGCTTATTTCGTGTCATGTTCAGATTGCTTTATTTCTTCTTGTATATACTATTTCCTTTCGGGACTTAGACGATCATGTTTCTCCACAGCTTCCTAGTTTGTCTCTCTAAGTAACTTTTGTCTCTTTACTATATCTCTTTGGCCTTGTTCTACCACCTATCCACTGAAGCTCATCAGGCAGGTTACTTGCTGATTTCTTCGCTTCTTTTGCGTTCGATATACCTTAGGAGTATTAAAATCTTCAAACCATCTTTTTCGTTACATGTACCTTTATGAATTTTAGCAGCATTTTTTTCTTGTAGTTCTGATTCCCCTTAAAATTTCGTCGTTACTCACATGGTCTGTCCACGGTATTCGCAGCATTCGGCGGTAGAACCATATTTTTTCGCTTTAAGTCTTCATCTGTGAGTATTCTGAGAAAGTGGGTTGGCCTGAAGACTTTTTAAACCCGCCACATATATACCAGAGAGAGAGAGAGAGAGAGAGAGAGAGAGAGAGAGAGAGAGAGAGAGAGAGAGAGAGAGAGAGAGAGAGAGAGAGAGAGAGTGAGTAGTTTGTTTTTTGTGTATGTGCTTGTGTCTGTATCTGTGTGTGTGTGTGTGTTAGTGCGTGTATGGGCGCAGACAGGCCATTCTGGTTTGTCAATAATTGTCATAAATCAAATGTAGAGAAACATGAAATCTGTTATAAATTATGTCTTGATTTTATAAATACAGTAAATATTAAATTATACTTTCTTTCATCCCTGATGTTTTCTTCCTTCCCTGGGTTTCTATTTCTTTCTTTCTTTCTTTCTTTCTTTCTTTCTTTCAAATTTCGTTCTATTCATCTATTTTTCTTCTTTCTAACATTATTTCTTCACTTTTGCTTAATTACTTTTATTTTGCTGGCTGTTTTCTCTTTATGTCTTATTTTTCATTTTCTGTACATTTCTGTTACTTTTTCTATTACTTTTGTTGTTACGTTTTCTGTTACTTTTTTCTCGCTCGTTTTCGCTATCTTTTTACTTTTTATTTTTCTGTTTTCTCTCCTTTTGCTATTCCTTTTGCTGCTATTTCTTTTTTATTTTGACTATTTCTTCTTTCCTGTTTGCGCCTTTTTCTAATATAACATTCTCCTTCCTTCCTTCCTTCCTTCCTTCCTTCCTTCCTTCCTTTGTATTTGTTATTTTTATTCTTTCTTTTGTCTACGTTATTGAGTTTTCTTTTTCATTATGATTTTTACATTATTTTCTCAACTTATTTATTATTTTTATTCATTAGTTTTGCTTTCATTTATTCTTTCTCTCCAGTTATTCTTTTTATTAGTACTTTTATTTATTGTCTTTCTTTCTTTTGTCTAATTATTTTTTCGATGCTTCTAATCCGATATTTCCTTCTTTATTCATCTTTCTTTCTTTCTTTCTTTCTTTCTTTCTTTCTTTCTTTCTTTCTTTTTGTCATTTTCTTGTAGTATTTCTTACTCTTTTTTTCACTTTATCATTTTCCTTCTAGTATTTTCTTTCTTCTTCTTTTTTACAATACAAGTTTACTTTCGATTTTTTCTTTTTAAAAGTGTCCTTTATGCTTTTTGTTTGTTTTATTTCACACGATTTAATTTTTGTCACTAAAATATTAATAAATTAATCTTCACTGTTGTTTTAAACCCATCTTCTTCTAGATTTGTCAGCAAAATAGCCACATTGTTTTATCTTTTCTTTTTTTATTTAGTAACGCAAGTGATTCTTCTCAACACAAGCAAAACATGATTATCTGCAAAATTGATTTGAGAGGTTTTTTTTTCCATCACTTTTTTCTCAATCGTGCGGAAGTTAAAACAGCAGCCATACAAACACTTATAATTACACACGCACACTCATTTATTCTTGCGTATACACAAAGAGGTGCACGAAATGTTTTTATATTTTCCGCCCACGCATGCGTACTGAAAGACTCTCGGGACCACATGTGAATGCCTTGTGTTTATCTGATTTAATAAAAAAAATAATTTTACGAAGAAATGACTACTTGTTAGGCTTTGAAATTTTCTTCTCTCCAATTAAATTGAGAGGGCGAGTATTCCCAATTCAGTCTTTAGGGGAACATGCTGGAATGAAGTGTGCTGAAAAGTTCTCGATCAACCTTTGAACAAATGACTAAACATTTTTTTTTTAAAAAGATACTAATGTTCCGCTCATAAGACACTGCTTTACAACTGAAAAATGAAAGTACAGCAAACAATCGGCATAGCCATTAACTCAGGGAATGGTACACTCCTGCCTTACAAAGATTTTTTTCTCCTCTTTTAATAAATGAGTGTAGTTTCATTATTTCAAACCACTATTTTTTTTTCTTCCCAGAGACAAAAGAAAAAAAACGAAAATGAAACGCTTGCCATTTTTAGAATCCCGGCTTGAACATATCAATTCGTTCCGATATACCTGGCTGAACGTTTGCTGAATTTTACAACTTTTTAAAGAAGGAATGACACCACTTTAGGCCTGAAGATCGGTGAAAATCGATTAGCCGATAAGCTGCTATCAATTTCTGTTAATATATATATATATATATATATATATATATATATATATATATATATATATATATATATATATATATATGTGTGTGTGTGTGTATTAGATGAAATCTGGAGAAAAATTGAATATATTTTCTGTTTATATGTTATTTTATGGATACAACTTATTTGAGTAAATGTTCTGTTTAAATAAACAGTATTAATTACATTTACATGCCTGGATGTTCGAGAAATTTCGTAGAAAATATGCGTTCTCCGAGAGGAATCGAACTTATATCCCATAATGAAACCGTCATATAGCCTGACGTGCTGTTAACAATTTAGCTACAGAGAACTTAGCCAAGTCCTGCCATAAATTCTGTTCGACTTCATATACGTTAAATCATTTAATTTTACGTATATCAATAGATGGCATTATTATTATTTATGTTCTTTTTATATATATATATATATATATATATATATATATATATATGTGTGTGTGTGTGTGTGTGTGTGTGTGTGTGTGTGTGTGTGTGTGTGTAAAACCACTTTCGTATGACGCGTTTCGCCCCTTAGAACTTCATCGGACTAGTTTGAAACGCGTCACACGAAGACTTTTCCACTTTGTCATACATTCTTCCTCCAAAACTGTCCTTGATATATAAAAGTGATATATTGTTATCTCATATATATTTATAATGTTTTTAGTTGTAATCTTGCAAGTGGTTAGAGTTTAAATTATAATGGTTCTAAAATATTTGTAGTTTTCCTAAGGTGTGCATTTATTCTTTTAGTATATGAATAACATCGTTAAGAAAATTAGCGAAGCAATTGTCCTCCCAGGGTCTAGTCTGGTAATTTTAGTTGCAATACTTCCTAAAGTTGTTACTTGATATCAATTTGAAATTTTTTTAACGCCATGTCTCTTCAAGGACACAGGTGATCATGATGACTCCACCGATTTCCTTTTTGAATTATCTATGAGCTGACATGCATTCTTGGGGAATATAGTGGAGTTGCTTTCTGCACAGTTTTAAATTACGAGTTTTCATTCTCTTAGATTGGTTGCTACTTTAAGCCTAGAGTGTCCAGTCTTCCATTATTTAAGGTTTTGGCTGAATTAATACCTTTCCTAAGTGAAAATTAATGCAACAGACCTCGGCATGAACTTGTATTCGAATTCTATCTCTGTGTATATATATATATATATATATATATATATATATATATATATATATATATATATATATATATATATATATGAATGAATAGGAATCGCAGAGCCGAGTTCGAATTCCAGTCTAATCCATTGCATTCACTTACGTGCTAATACCCTCGGCATGAGCTTGAATCCTCTTCCTCCAGCTATGGGTAAAATAGCAGGACAGACTGGGTTCTATAGCCTTGGATGGCAACTGGTCTAGGAGAAGGACAACTCTGAAATCAAAACCTGCGGAGGGTCGTTTGGGAACCTTGTGGCACTCGGTACACCAGGTCTCTGTAGTCGTCCCTTCAAAAAGTGTGGATGGTCCTGCACGAGGCCTTCCCCACTATTATCAAATCTCATGTGCCGTCGTCGGGCTGTCGGTTTCCTTGAAACTGATCTGCTTGGCCCTCATATGTCGAATTTCGACGGGAGAGTCGACTATATATATATATATATATATATATATATATATATATATATATATATATATATATATATATATATATATGTATATATATATATATATATATTTCATTGAAACTAGATTTGATATATACATTTCATTGAAACTAGATTTGATTACGCGTTTCGCCTTTCTAGGCTTCATCAGATCCAAAAACGAAAGAAAGAAATGTGTGTGTATTTGTGTGTATGCTTAAATAATGAATCATTAGTACCCCCCCCCTAAGCTTGCGCACTAATGATTAATTACTTAAGTATACACACACATTTCTTTCTTTCGCTTTGGGATCTGATGAAGCCTAGAAAGCTAGTTTCAATGAAAGATTTTTTTTTTCCATTTGACAATTTTCTTCAAAACTTTGTTGGGATTCTATATCCTATTTTAAACACACACACACACACACACACACACACACACACACACACACACACACACACACACACACATGATGGCTATTGCAAGTTCTCGTCCTGAGCCATTTCCAGATGTCTTAGTCGAACTGAGAACGTTTCTCATTTCGTATATTTATGTGTTTGCGTGCCACCAAGTCGGTTTAAATGCTGATTTATATGTATAGAAACGATACGAACGTATGCATCCTCGCTTGTAGGCCACTTGTTAAAAGTGCGTTAATCGATTGTCAACGTATGCTATAAACAAAAACCATTTATAAAACAGTATTTAGTGACCAATTAGACGAAGAAACAGTCAAACAAACAAACCTAAGACGATATTTCATTGAAAAACTAAAGACGAGGGAGATGCTGTGCGAAAAGCGAAAGGAGAAGGAGAGGTTATATGTTCTTGAAACTTGCTGACGCATGAAGTCATTATTGAGTTTTTCTCGAATCGACCAGCAACAACAGTTTTTGTAAATCGATTGAAATATGAAGGTGGCTAAGCTTCGCTCATTAAAAAAATAATTTTTATTTCTATGTTGTTTTTTAATTAAATTTCTTAAAAAAATGTATTCGTTTCAAATTACCAACCAATTTTCTGTGATAAAGTGTTGCTTAGTGCATAAACGATTTAAAAAATACCGAAAAGGCGAGAAAGAAAATTCCAGCTTACTCGTGTTTTTTTATTTATTTTTATTTATTTATCTATTTATTTTTGTTTTAATCCAGTTTCTCATTCAGAAAGAAAGAAAAAAAAGAAAGAAAGAAAGAAGAAAAGGGAAGAAAATATCTGACAAGTAATTCAGTGTATTTTAACTTCATGGGCTTCCTTTGCTGAAAGGTGAAAATGTTACTTCGATACGAGCTTTTTCAGTTTCTATCTATTTACTGCCGTTCTGATGTTCAATGTTTTCCGTTACATGTTCAAATGTCAGCGTGGATGTTCGTACGCGTGAACTTACCCCTTGAGTATCACTCTGTAACATGGAATATTAAAAAGAATGCTGCATCAGCAATATTAATGAATATTATTATTATTATTATTATTATTTGTGTATGTTATGTTTCCAGCTTTGTATCCTGTAGAGCGGGGTCCAAACTATGGTCCTTATGCCATACAGAAGAATTGTCATTTAATTGATAGCACTTTTCTGAGTATATGGAATGTTCCTAGTAGGGCCATCTTTTGGACAACTTGTATGATGATGTTACCTGGGACACTTAGTAAAATTGTCCATTCCTTTTCTCACGAGACCCACAGCTCCGATTACTATTGGTACAGTCTCAGTCTTCACTCACCTTATCCTGTTAATGTCGATCACCAGGTCCTTGTATGTAGACAATTTCTTGATAATTTTCATGAAGGTGTTTCTCTCAGATGGTACTACTATGTCAATAAGCAATGTTATTATTATTGTTGTTATTGTTGCTGTTGTGTTTTTCTTTTTCTTTGTGTAGTACAAATTGCTCCAAGTCTCATCCAGAGACTTCAGCATACAATATTTTTATACTAGCGTTAACACAATTGCAAGGCTCAAGAGCTACTCAAGGTCCAGGGTTACTGTGTGTATGGGTCTAAGAAAACCCAAGATGTGCGTTTCATGAGGTCATGTGAGAAAAATAACGGTTAATCATAGACTTGAAGAGGTCAAGATTGTAACGATCGGGAAAATATCTTGTCGGGAGTCTGTTCCACAAATCAACAGTTCTTGGGAAGAAGCTGTCCGAGTGGAACTTACTTCTTATTAATGGAATACGAAGGGAATGAGGATGATTCAACCGTGTGTATGTGGCATGTCGGGTCTCAAATGGAAAAAAGTTAGGGCTGGTGGTAGCAAGGAATGTGGCACGTCAGAACGTTTGATCCACATATTTGTTTGCAGCTTTTGATATAATTCCCAAAGCCCCCAAATAACAACAGGTAATTTC